AAGCCGGGAGGAAACAGAGACAGGACACCTTACCCAAACAAGCCAAAGGGGTATTCCATACCATAACAGGTCATGCCCAGTATAAAAACTGGGTGGAGGTACCCAGAAGGCCCAGATCACTACTTGGGTTTGACTAGGTATCAGGTGGAGCAGGGGGAAGAAGGAGGCAGGGAGTGAGCAAGCGTCTGCCTGGTTCTGAGTTACCGGCTGGGCTTAAACTTTGACACCTCCACATGACCATCACTTCTTCTCTTCCAGGAAGATACATACTCTCAGATCTGGCAGATGAGCTGCCCATGTGGGAGCTTCCTAAGCTTTCTCATGTGAAATGGAAAAAGTTAATTCAAACAGTTTAAAATAGCAGGTCTTTGCTGATTTTGCTAATTTTGTTTGGATTAAATGCAGTTCAACCTGAACAAAACCCAGCATGTTCCTACTGGACATGCCTGAAGCAAACACTAAAGTCAGTCATCATGTCTACCTGGGGCACAATGAGAGCAGGATAAGCTGGACACAATCTGAGGGGAACACTAAATGAGCCCAAACTTGCCAGAGCTTTGCTAACTGCTGACACTGTTTTGGGAAATGAGACACTGCAGGTCCATCCAATATCAGCTGAGGGGTGCAGCTAAAGAGAGTAGGCATCAAAATGTTTCACTATGGGGTTCTGATGCTACACGATGCAGGCTAGGGTTACCCGAACACTGTTAAGTGTTCATAGATCTTTCTGAACCATATGCACAATTATATGTCTCCAATAATTAATCAGAAATTTCCATAGTTCACTGCAGTGCACAGATACATCCAATGGTGGAGTCTTCACTGGCAGTAACACAATTAGGCCGATAGTCAGCACATTAAGATATGTATAACACTATATAATAACATTTGAACTTTAGCCTTAACTCATTCTAAATATCAGCCCACAAATGTGACCAAGAACAGAAATAAACCAGGAACTGAATTGCGTAAAACATGAAAATAATTAGTAACAATTAGATCCACCTCCATCTAGGTACCATTTACAGAAGAATACTGTGGAAAAAAAAACAAAACAAAACAAAGCAAAGACCCAGAGAGCTACACATTCGTGTTTTCTGTAAAGATACTAATATGTGGATCTTTCAATGCGCCACTCCATTAGAAACAAATGTCTCTTTTAGGAAGTAAGAGCATTTTCCTGTAATATGAAAAAGATAAGATACACAAATAATGGAAAAGAGTCTCTTACAAATTACAGGGACTGGATATGTATGAATATATCTGTCTCTTTAAGATTTCTTTCTGCAAACTGCAGGTAACCTGGCAGAGGAGACATATCTACTGCGCTCAAAATGCCCTTTCCAGGAACACATTTCTGTAGGTAATTCTTTTTCCATGTAGAAACGTAATTACTCAGTGGTTATTAGGCAAGGAAAATGGAGTTCCATTTAAATTTAGAACTGGAATCCAAGCCAAATTCCAGGGGAGGGAAAGAAACATTTTACAGATGGAGACTTGCAATCTAACTGCAGAGCTAGGTAATATAAACGTCCCAGAAGAGGAGAGAAAAGCACGATGTTATGATTAAAGTCATCCAAATGAGGATTAAGAAATCTTTGCCTTCAGACAAGAGACAGATTTGTCACAGTTGTGGAAAGGCATTACATAGCTGCATGGGAAAGAAGTATTCTTAAACCAACATATGCCTATTTTGGTGTGGCAAACATCTAATGGAAAGGGATTTTTTTCACAAAAAGCTAGGCATTCAGAAAGATGTCATAAAAATGAATTTTCTAACAATAAAACTACCACTAATATTAACATAACTGGACAATTTTGTCCATCAAAGTCGAATTAGGTGGTTATGGATAAGTTGGTAAATAAACCCTGTGGTTAGTCCTTTCAAAAACTCTAACCCATTTTTAAGACACAGACTCATTTCCAAAAGTGGCATAAAGTCAACTTTTTCGAAGTTATTTAAGTGATCAATGTTGCAGATGAATGTGTGATAGGAATTTTATGCTGGATAAACAGAATGGATGCTTAGTTCCCACTGATTTCAACACATCTGCTTTTATATGCTGAGATGCTCGAGTTTAAATGACATTAAGCAGATTCTAACCTCTATAAATATGCCCAGTATTTTCTGAAAACAGGGTAGTCAGGTATTTTTGACATTTCTGTTTTGTTTCTTGAATAGGCTCTCTTCTCTCTCATCTGTTATATAGTTCACCCCCACTGATGCTACTCTACTGCAGAACTATATACAACTTTTGTGATCTACTTTCTCTCTGCTTCTGTCCTTTACTTTTTGCAGACAGCAATGCCCTGGCACAGATTTTTCTAACTTTGACTGTGTTAGTTTGTTTCTTCTGTTGGCACTGTCAAATTCTGTCAATTTGCTTTAGAGAGAACCATAGTTAAAATCTCTGGAAGATAATCTGGATGTAACATACAATTGTTTAATCTGAAAGACCAAAATGTCAAGGACTATCTTGACACCTTTGCCTTCTTATGAATAGTAGATCTGCCCTTTCTCCCATGTCATCCCATTTTCCCTGCTCAGCCCAGAGCATTGATGGAAGAAATTTTAAACAAGATGGTACAACTGACATAAAAATTAATTCGAGGTTCCTGAGACCTATGGTATTCAAGGGCAAGGGAGGGAAAGGTGAGAATGTGTGAACTTTATTGTCTTTCTAAATACCAGGCTAAAACAGCCTCCTTTTGCACAAGAATAAATTTCTCTACAAATTCTTACTCCATACATTGACAACTGAAATTGTAATTCTGGCTGCCTTGCTCAAGAGAGTATTGGGAGCCTCAGAAAAGCAAGGAGAATTACAGTCACCAGTCCAATCTCCTGTACAGAACATGACCAGCTCTGGGATCACACCAGGTTGCCCAGGGCTTTCATTAACGTGGTCTTAAAAATTCCTATGATGGAGCAAGGCCCTGTACCTTGGTTGGGGCAATCCCAGGCACAGCTACAGGTTGGGCAGAGACTGGATTGAGAGCAACCCTGAGGGGAAGGACTCGAGAGTCTTGGTTGACAAAAAGCTCAACAAGAGCCAGCAGTGTGTGCTCACAGCCCAGAAGCCAACCGTATGATGGACTGCAACAAAAGGAGTGTGTCCAGCAGGTCAAGAGAGGTGATTGTTCCCCTCTACTCTGCTCTTGTGAGACCCCACCTGCAGTGCTGCATTCAGTTCTGGGACCCCCAACACAGGAAGTTCATGGACCAGCTTGTGCAAGTCCAGGTGAGGGCCACAAAGATGGCCCTACTTACCTAGTCTATAACATCCCAACCTGGCTAAAAGATGCTATGTGAGGCAGACAACATCTGATACTCTACTCAGCCACCAGCTGCTGGTTGAGCACAATTTGACCTTAGTACAAGGTCATAATTATTATTATTAATTATGCTCTCAAGGTCGAACATAATTTGACCTTATGTATCTTCTCCATACACATTTTCCTTGGAGAATTTTGTCTGACAGCATTGGTGAATGAAAAAAAAAAAAAAACAGATGGAAAATTACTTTAAGCAGATTAGAATATTTTCCCTAAATTCACTCAACAGAAACAAACAACAACCTAAAATAAAGACTTTCTATCCAGGAAAAATTGAAAAAGAGCAGGGTATAAATCAGAACATGAAATGGGCTGCTTCAGTGAACAAGACATTCTGAGAGAATTACATGGCACACGAAAACTGTTGACACTTTTCAGTGAATCTTTGCTGTTGACAGAATTAATTTGTACTATTGACATTAAATGCAGACACTTTAATACATCAAGCAAAGCCAATGTTGGTTTTTTTTTCAACTTCTTACAAGATAATTTTAAACATTTCTAAACCTTAAATGTAAGAACTTGGCCGCAGCAGACTGGTGTATAATTAACTATACATACATGCTAGAATTTAAACCACTTGTGAGCAAAGCTGGTTGGGTGTCAATGAACAGGGAGTACTGATGCCTGAATACATTGCTGGAAAAGTATATAGCATTATTTCTTGACATAAATACTATTAGTTACCTACTTTAACATTTTCATTAGCAATGCCCACGTATTTTTTACTGATAGAATCATAGAATCATAGAATCGTTCCTGAGGGTTGGAAAGGACCTTAGGATCATCTAGTTCCAACCCCCCTGCCATGGGCAGGGACACCTTACGCTAAATCATATCACCCAAGGCCTCGTCCAACCTGGTCTTGAACACTGCCAGGGATGGAGCATTCACAACCTCCCTGGGCAATTTCTGATCCTCAGAAATGGATTCTTCTGTGGAGCAGAAAGACTCTTTTTAATTATTACATAGAAAATGTGTTTAGAAAGTATCTCAAGAAATGTGCCATCCTCTTTTTAACAGGTAAGCTTTTAACACAAGGAGGTGCTGTTGAGACTCAAATCTTTGGGACAGATCCAATCATGCATGATATACAGAGTGATGTATTTGCACAAAATTTCTGACGTGAGTACTGTTGCCCACATTTAAGAATTAAATCCTGGCTCTGTGCAAAGTAACTTGTGCTATGCTATGAATTCATAACCTTGGAGAATACGTAAGGGTCAGTACTACATTGTGCACAAATGTGTGTGTTTCTGTAAGAATTGTCAGCGTTCTCTTACAAGTTTCCAATATTTATAACTGGCATTCAAAAAGTCTGTGGGTAACATTGCATGGACTACTGTTAATAGCCTAAAAAACACTCAGAGGCTAAGAAACATAAGAATTAAACAGATTAGGAATTGATTCAGGGTTCATGTATTTAGAAATACTCTGAGAAAACCTCATGATTTCCAGAGCTGCTAAGCAAGTATAACTCTCATTAACTTTGGTACACTAATATACAAAGACGTTCAGCCCTACAGATAAACAAAAGCAGAAATAATTAATCAAAACTAAATGAAAGAATTAAAGGGTGACTATGATAAGCCATGGAACCTCATTATAAGTATACAGTGCAAGGTGTAAATATAGACTCATTTTTTTACAGAGGAAATATAAAATAGATTAAAATGAAGATTTTTATTGGAAATATTGGCATTATACCTTCCTCAGAATCCTATTCCTCTCCAAAAATGGTATGTCAGAATATGTTTCCTGTGCTGGTTGCCAATCTCTCATCATGAAAAATGAAGGCAGTTGCATCACAGGAGCTCCTGTCCATAGCTTTCTCTGGAAGATGCAGTTAAGATAGGAGCATGACTTCTTGAAGAAAATGGCTTCTAGAAAAAAGAAATCATTAGTTTCTCAGTATTCACTTTGTCCATGTTTGGTTTTTAAATAAAATGGGGTTTGGTTTTTTTTTTTTGGCGAGGGCAGTGCGGGGAAGAGAGTGTTTAATATACATATTTTAAATAGTGTCTATATTATTTATTCATTTTTTTAACTGGAAAAAATACAGTTGACATTGTGAAATTGCTATCTGTCCTACTTCTGTGATCATAGCACTGTGAAAAGAGTTCAAACATGAGAATCTTTATGCTCCCTTTGTCTGTCAACTTCACTAATTAAGCCCACTTACATCTTTCCACCCAAACAGACAGTCATTATTTTTATTTCAAAATGACAAGAAATAGGGTAGTGGAGTCTCTCTTCCACTTGTACTCCAGTGTTCTGTCCTTACCTTGCTCTGTCTGGCAGAATATATGCAGGCAGATGAGAACATACAGTTCGGAAAACCGTAATTGAACACACCAGGATTCACAGTGGGATTCCACTTGCAGAGAATGAGCTCTCTGCTTCTCAGTAAATTACCCAGAGGAATTTCCAACTGAAGAAGACAGTCTGTTTTACACACCAGAAATTACATGAAAGGGTGGAAACACTGCTCCAGATCAGCATCATTAGCATTTATATAGTCAAATTATTGCAGACAGTCGTTACTGGAAAACAAATCTATCTTCAAAACACCTTAATGAGGTCAAGACATTTATTGCCATTCAGTGAGGGACAGATGTGTTATGTGTCGTATCTGATGTCATCCACTGAGTCATGGGCAAATCCAGAATATACTCTAAGGGAGGCGAGAATGACTGAAAAGAAAGTGTTTGCCCCTGTGCTCACTGCAATAAGTCTTGCTGTCTCTCCACAGAGGAGGGCAAACTGATTTCTCTTCCTACTATCTTCTCTCACACAGCTCAGCTGTTAACTGTAGATTAGACCTCCTGGGACAATCTTGTCTAGAACATTCTTGGTTTTAGCAAAACTTGACCTTTCAAAACAAGAGTATATGGGGGGACTTCTTGGTGACACATTAGCAAATTTTATGGCTGATTCATTCATAGCCATTTTTTCTTGTTTCTGAATCTGTGCCTAAAACTGCAATAATCTATTTGACACTACTAAAAAATACTTTTTCTCTATTTCTTGTATTTATATATTCTTTACTGAAGTACTTTTTATAATCTTCTAAATTTTTGTAGAAAATTTTGACTACTCATAATTTGGATGGCTAAAACTTAAACAGTTTTGCTGATTTTTTGCAGCATATCTTTCTAAAGAGTCTATAATTCATTTTAAACAGGAATCTCAAATTAAGTGCAATTCTTCCATTTGAAAGTTGAATTCTCTGGAAAGAAAAACTTCGTTAAATTTTGCTGAAATTGAATGGTCACAGTTAAACTTTCTAGTTCAGTACTTCTAACTTTCACCGTTTTATCATATGTTTTCAGAATTTTTTTCTCTTGTTTCTTAAGCCTTGGCATCTGAAATCACGCAGGTATTGGGAATCTTGTTTTTCTTTTGAAAAGCATAATTTTCAATGTTTCTTGAACAGCAGTAACAGGTGCTGCTGTTCAAGAAAGTATGAAATAGGAATCCAAAGCACTTAAAAAAAAATGAATGTAAAGAAAGTACTTGAATTATTATCATCTTTTAGGATGGTGCTGGCTAGGTGAAACACTTATATATTCATTTGATTCTGTGATATGGAATTTTCAGAATTCACAAGAGAACATTTCCGGTATTGACCTTGGAGAAATCCTGAAGAAGACAGTCAGTGCAAGCAGGAATTTTTATGTTATGTTAGGGTGAGAGACACTAGTCCCCTTTTTCCCCTATTTCAGTCCTTCTCAGAGTAAAGATGAAGTCATTGTAGTCTTGCCCTGCATGCCTTCAAGTCAAGGCTCCCATGTCCTGCAGTCATGCCAGAGACATCTGGAAAGAAGTGGGCACAGGATCAGGATATGAAGGAGTTTTAAAATATTAAACTCAGGTTTGCCATTATGAAGTTGCTAATCCCATTAGATTCCACAAGAAAAACATCTGGAAACCCAGGTATGTTGCAAAGACCCAAATCTCATCATTATGCACTTACATATTACTTCACTCGTTAGCACAGCTAAACACTGCAACAACATAACTAATAGCAGTTTAATGATAAAAAGAGTGCACTGATGTAAAACTAATTGTCTCTCATGGGAAAGAATGAGGAATACTTGTGATATGGCTCAATACTGACAAAAATGAAGATGTCATAAGATTAGACTTGTTTTGCTTGAATTCATACTTCCAGGAATAACAGACATGGAGAAGCTGCTCCACTGCTAAAGTTGGACCATCATATTTTTTAACAAAATAAAACAATACCATAGTTTTTACCATGTAAATATAGTTCAAAACCATGTAAATATGCTTTAAATATGAGAAATTATTTTAAAAACATTAAATATCTCATTCTTGTGAGATGTGTATTGGATGAATTCACTTATATAAATTTATGATAATGCCAAATTACTTGAAGGCAGAAGAAAAAGACAGCCTGATTTGGAAAATAAATTTCTTTTTAACATCAAATAGCCTTTCAATCATGATATTTCTCACACAGACTAGAGAAGATCGTCACAAGCATGAATGATGTACAGAAGTTCAAAAGTACCTTTTTTTTTCTACAAAGAGTTAAATAACAATGCTATTCACTGAAGAGGTAAAGTGGAATTTTGAGCAGAAAGCATGTTTCAAGATCTAATGAGATTTTTAGGAACAGAAGCATCCAAAACCAATTACTTTATTTCTAATGACTGTTTGTTAAAAGGAGCTCAAAAGGCTAAGCACAGTTGGGACCAGTAAAAGAAGGAAATTAGGAACATACATCTCCATAGTCAGCTTCTTAGAACAGCTCACTTAGTTGTTTCAGATCAAAAAGTTTAGAAGCAAAACAGGGTATTTCAGCTCCCAAAAGCATACTTTTGGTTACACAACAGAAGCCTTTCAATTAGCTGTTAGAGTGACAGATCATGAGGATTTGGCAACTCTAGATCAATAAGCTGACCCTAGGATTTCTTTGGTTTGTGTTTTTCCTCAGACTATCAAGAAAGAGAAAAAATAGCAGCCCAGAGAGAAAAAGTACAGAGACATAAAGCATCTGCACAGTATAGTCAGAATAATGGTGACCAACATTTTTCAATACCTTTCACTAGATGCTCTTCCTTGACCTTTCTTCACCTTATTACATTGCTTTGAAACAAACAAAAACATTTCTGCTCTAAGTCAAAGTCAAAAGCAGGGCATTTTTCAGCTGTTTTCCCACATCTTCTAGCTGTGGTGAACTTCTAATTGCAAATTCTTCTCTATATGTACATTTCAGCTTTTTTCTCTTTTCTTTTTCTTCTTTAAACCAGAATGAAACTTGACAGCAATGAAAGCTTCACATTCATCTAGGATGTACAGATCTTAGAGATTGTACCATTATCTCTCCTCAGCTGTTCCTTTTCTGTCAGCACAGACATTTCACAACAAGCTTGGAGGCTTTCCTCTGTGTCCAGCAGCCTTAAAAACAAAATTAATTCAGTGCTATGAAATTAAATAATGCACCCAAAAGAAAAGAAAATGTAACTTTACTACTTTTTTTCATTACTGCAGTTTCTTCTGGGCTACAAGTAAACAAATCTTATTCTGCAACAGGTTTCTGATTTCTCCTTCTAGTTCATCCAAGGCTAACATTCATAATATGGACAGCTAGGGAATCAAGTTCAGAATTTATGTGAGGTGCTAGACCCGCATGAAAGTGAGGGACATCAGGTTTAAAAAAAGTAACATAGCACACATGTCTCTGCATAAAATCCAAGCTGTATGTCAGGAGGCTCTCCTCCCACATCACATAAAACACACTGAATAACAGAGGAATGGATTGGTGAGGTGGACCATAAGGCAGCATTATGGCAATGAAACATGAGTACAGGAAACAGTGAAACCTGCTGTTACACAAAAACAAAGGGTGAGGAGAGGGACACTCATGCCAGTGGAGAGCAGACACCTTGGAGTTCAGATGGATATGACCAAGGGAGGAGAACCTGCCCAGGAAACAAGTTACTGCAACAGCAGGCTGTGGGTCTGTCCAAAATTCACGCATGGAAAGACAAAAAGGAAGCTATTGCATGAGGGCAGGACATGTTGGCAGCAAAAAGCAGTAGGAGGTCTCCTTTCCTGAAAATCCTCTGTAAGAAACATAGCTTTTATGTGACTGGGCAAAAAGTACAGACTTCTTAATTTGGAGCCGGGATATCCAAGAGGGTGTGATGAACAGCCAAGGCAGGCCTTGATCTTGAATGCTGGACAAAAAGTTTTTCAGTCTCTGTGTACGAAAGTAAGATTCCAATGTCTAAAAGGAGTAAATGTATACTAGATTTTACTATTTTTTTGTTTATGACTCAAACCTGTGTCGGGTCACTTGTCACCTGCATTAAGTTCCAAACTCGCCCTTTTATAATTACCCAGTACACTTCCCTGATCAGGGGAGACAGAACATAACCCAGGGCCCTCCTTTTGTAAGTGTGTGCTGCGAAGGTGTAAGAGAGCAGACACATTATGCACCTGTACAGAGCTGTCAGGACTTCAAGTCAACATTTGAACATCCCTGTCAGCAAACAGAGCAACTCCTGGACCTAAGCCTGTACCAACTCTGGAGCCACCTACTATAGTACACAGCATGCCCATATAAACTGGAACATCCATCGGTAAGTGAATGAGAATCTTTATGCTCATACTGGCTTATCTGTGCTTTGTAACTTCTGAGTAAAATTATTAGTATTGCTCCAAGGAAGATGAGGGAAAGATAAATGAGATAGCTCATTTCTATTTTAGACCAGGAATCTCAAATGGGCAATAGGGATTGTTTCCCTTTTAATGTACTTTTTCAAGTTTGAAGGGAGGAATGGAAGAATATGCATTAAGGCCACAGAAGATTTCTTTCTTGAGCTTGTTTAGTGAGAACAGTGTTAGTCAGCTGCCACTGACAGGTTCTACTGACAAAAAAAAAGGATAAATCTCATTATAGTGCGCCAGCACCCTGCTTTGCCATATCCCAGATTTCACAAGCTAAAATTACAAGCAAACTGGAGAAAAAAAAAAAAAAAAAAAGTGAGTATGAGATAAAAGCCAGAGTGAACCAGAAGACAGAACACTGTCAGAAAAATCACATAACAGCAATGAATCATACCATGGGACTTAAGCGTCATAGAGCCCCATGAAATGAAAAAGTTCCATTGATTTCCTCTCAGCTCCATGAGTGGGTTCCTTTATCAAATGCCTTTGAAAGTAAGACCTCCTGCTGTTTTTTTTATATTAAACTGGGGAAAACCACATTCCATTGTCAGGGTTGCTGCAAGGATGTAATCAGAGGTTTGGCATCCCAGTTCACAGAAACCAGGCAACTTGGAAAAAAAAAAAACATACTTATAGTTGCTATTTTTCTTTTCTAATAGAAGGTTGAATATAATTACCTTAAAACTAAGTGACATCAGGGGTAGATAAGATTAAAACAAATAACCTTTCTTCCAACTATGCATTTCCTTCATCATTGTGATAAAGTGATAATTGCCTGGAGATTGCTTATTGCAAAGGTGAGCTCTTGTCACTTAGGAACTCCCTTTTCAGGTCACTCTCCAGACAAGAAGAATAATTTACAACATGAACCATGAACCTGAGCCACATTTCTATTCAGCTGTACTGAAAATTAGAATGAGAGTAGCAGGGGTAAGACTGGGGGAGGAAACTTCCATAGGCATCAGGTATGTTGGGAAGCTACTGCATTATCTCAATGAATAGCTGCCATCATGGAGAATCAGTATGAGAAAGAAAATGGTCCAATTGATTAGCTGATTAAGATCCACCAGCCCAGATAGGATGAACATTTACTAAGGGTTTCCTGTTCCTGAAAATTATAGGGTTTGTGTTTTTATTATTATCTTTGGGAATAAGTATACAGTCAGCCTATCACATTTGGATTTCCATGAACCCCATGTATGGGCTGACTTGGACTTACTGTGAAGGCAGAATAGATAAGATGGAACAAAACAGTATGAGCAGCATTTTCCATAAGCAAAACACAGAGTATGTTTATTTATAACTGCTTTTTTTGCATAAGGGGAAAACAAAGGAAAGAAAAAGAGAGAGAGAGAACATTCACAAAAGATGCTAAAGCTTTTCCTTTAAGAGGGTGTATCTGATGTAAACAAAAAATTGCAGCTGTATCCAGCAGACATTAAAAAAAACTTGGAATAAAACAATTTGACATATATGAGATGTATATGTATATACATTTACTGCTACATTGGATAGCAGCATTGAATACATTCTTTGAGCTAGAAGGAAAACTGTTCAACGTAAACAAAGCTTGTCAACTACAAGCTGACATGAGATGGATGTTACTTATTTGGCTTACTTATTTGCCAGTTGAATCAGAAGAATTCACCTGCTGGTGTACAGTGTCACGTAGTCAGAGCTACGGAAGATGAAGTGAAGAGATGCAACTGCATGTGTGGCTTCAGTCCCAGAGGCAAGCTTGCCTGAAAAAAAGGCAGCCTCCAGTCTGCTATCACTACACCTAGCTGTTGCAGTCCTGGGGGGCTGTACGGCAAGCAGGGCCTGCAAGAGGTCAGTGAGCACCAGGTCTGAAGGGACAAGTTAGAGTGATGTAGATTTTTGCCACTGGGCAATTCCTTCTCCCTGGCAAGGCATTCAGGAGGCTGCTTTTGCTTACTGCAAAAACGTTTTCAGCCACCACCTGAGGGGAGTCACAGAAGTGGCCTTATTATATAGGATGAAAGTCCTGTCCCTGATGCTTTGTGGACTAAATGCATCTATATTATAAACAGTATTCTGGAAGATATTTTCACATACATGAGAAGAACATCTAATCCCCTCCCCCATTCCTTTCCTTCCTAGTTAACATAACTACTGCAATTAACACTATCAGATACCTATAAATGGAGTTCTCCGTGGAAAATACAGATGTTGTACTTCCATCAGTACAACTTGCAGGGGAAAAAATAAAAATCAGGTTTCAAGGTATTTCATTTGAACAAACCTTAAAGTACAGCTTTAAAACATGTATTATCAGCATCTGCCTTTAGAAGTTGTCAGCACCTCACTTTGGGTAATTAATTCTACTTAAAGCAGTTGATGGCAATCCAGACTGATGAACATGTGGGAAAAAATAAAAAAATAGAAAAGAAAAGATAAAGGAAAACAAGAGAGACATGAAAAGATAGTGGAAAGTAAAGCTAAAATATGTTCTATCAGCGACGTCAAGGGGTGAGGAAAAAAAACACTTAAAAGGAAGAGAAAAAGAATTATAGCAGCTTAGAAAACAACAAAATGTGTGAGGAAAATTCCTTTCAAAACATTTAATAAGATTGTCATTATTATTATTATTATTATGTTTGTTGCTGTTGGTTTTTTTTTCTTTTAAATACAGTTATCTAAGCCGAATATGGATCTTCACTGTATTCCTGCTTTTTTCTGACTCTGTTCTGAGCTGCTGTAACAGTAGATAGAATGATAACCTTAGCTACAATGACATATGCATATACTTCCTCACTTTTCAAAACCAATTTGTATTAGAGAACTGGTAGCAAGTATCATAAGGTTAGTGGTATATTAATCAGAAATTTCCTACCAAAAGGAAACTCACACTTTAGAGCATTCCCAGTACTGAATAAAAGATAAAGGATTAAAAATAATTAAATCTATAAAACAGGATACTTTAACAAAAAAAATCTGTGTGAAGATATTACTGTGCTTTATTCTAAGCCAATTTTATGCTAAATAGTAACTGCCTGTGCTGTTGTCCTCTCATTCAAGATTTTTTGTGTCCTTCATTACTTCTATTGAACAAACTTCCCAAAGCTGTGTTTCCCATTATGCATCAGGATAAAAGAATTCCCACAATGCCTTGCTTTGATTCAATAAGACAAAAGAGTGTGTTACATTATTGGAAGCACACAGGGTATGTATGGTCACCTCAGATAAATGGAGACTACTGTTGAAGTTTGGTTCAACTTAGCAAATCCACACTCCATTACTTTAAGGTCCTGGAGATCCTTGCTGTTTCAACAAAGAAAGTTAGAATACATGCACCTCAAGGTTTCAGCCTGCAAGTGTTTCTTTAGTACAATCAATAATTAACTAATTTATCCAGAAAAAGTATTCATGAATTTGAAGTGGTCACTAGAAACGAATCATATCCAGCGCATAAGTTATGTTCTGACTACTCTACAACTACTTAATCAAATCTGGTCATCTTAAGCTGTCTATCAGTCTACTAGAAGGTGTTTGCTGAGATGGTGGTACAACTTCCAGCAGCTCCCAAGAGTTGCTATGCCTCTTTTCTTAACATTTCCACACAAATGGCAAGATACTGCATTGCACCTGGAAGATATATGAGGCAGTATACAGAAGACCAATTCCAAATGGACTACAGGAACAGAAAATCATAGAATTATATAAGTTAGGGTTGAGAACATGTGTGAAAATAAAATAGTTAGGAAGTATCAGCTAAGGGAAGTCTTAAATCCTAAATCATGAACGCGATATGACTGTGGCATAAGTGGAAATAGCAATCGGTTGGAGGAAGGCAATAATACTGAAATGTATTTGAATGTGTAACTTACTCCAGGCACTTGCTTACCTATACCAAATAAGCCAGGAAGAGAGCTGCTTGAACTGCAAAATCTTGTTGTGTTTTCTTAAATGATGATAAAAAGTACTAAGGTCTGAAAAGAAAGAGACTGAAATATCACACTTTGGTACATAACAAGTTATATCTCCTCTGTGGTTAGTTAAAGCAAGGTTCTACTTCCTCTTTCCATTATAAAAGAATACATGGACACTTTTGTACTACCCACAATGTTTAGACCTTTAAAAAAAAAAAAAAAAAGTCTGCATTTTTTTCCCAAAGCCATAGATCAGCTCATTCCAAAATAAAAACCTCAACCTGACAGGAATTCTCCTGACCTGAATACTGGAAACATTGTCTAAACCCAAGACACCAGAGAAATGTCTCATTCTTAAAGCTAGGTTTGTATCAGAACCCAAATATTGAGCATAGCTCAAAAGAGAAGGACATTATTTCAAGTCATTTGATAATTTTTTTAAGTAAAATAGACATAATAAAGCATAATAACTATACACTAGCACGTTCCCATTCCTTTCTTTGAGAAAAGCACAGGAGGTGGAGAGAGGAGGAGTTTCACATAGGAACAGAAGCAACAGCTCTGGAAAATGTCATGCTACAAGTGATCTAAATGTAAATGAACACATGGTACTCTGGAACAGGAACTTAATGTTTGGGGTTTTTTTCTTTTCTCTTTTTTTTTAATCTGGATAGATTTATTTTGAATACTGAGACTGCTGTCTGTAAAGTTAGAAAACTGTGGGTCATGTCTAATAGTTTCACCCAGGTGGCACGATGTCTCTGAGGTTTTCAACAAGCTTAGAAGAGTCCCTGCCAATTCCCACAACTTTTCTCTTTCTGTTATCTCTCATGCTTAACTGTATGTTCCCTGTTCTCCTCATCAGTCCCTCAGTCCCTGATGGAGCTTCATGCACCTAGCACCATGTATATTACCTCTTAATCCCTGCCTCTGCCCATTCTGAAACCTCTGTAAACTGCTATTCCATGCTCAGACGAAAAGCAGCACTCTCCTTTTTCCCCATATGAGCCACTCTTCTTCAGGTGTATTCTTAACTTACACTCCAAATGAAGGAAGAGCCATCAATATGTTAAAAATCAGTAAGACTGCTCACTCTTTACTACTGTCTTTCTGAATCTTCATTTTTACGGTGGGTAGTATCTTTTCCTATGGTCTTAATTTACATTTCAGTTTCCTATGGAAACATGCTGCTTCAGGTATCAAGAGCACTGTAGCACCCTTACAAAGAAGGTAAATCAATTCTGAAAAAGTGTATATGCAGCTATATTACTTACAAGATAACTTTTTTTAGAGTTTTACCTTTCAGATTCTAATGTCTGACTTGCAAGAATAAGCAACTGTCTACTGCATACTACAGATTTGCTACTATCTTCCAGATACCTCTAAATGGAGCTTGTCAATTAATTGTACTTTGATTTCCATTGTTGGAAGTGTAAAGTCATCAGGTCACTTCTAAATGCATTAAAAAAAAAACAAAAACCAAGGTAACATACTCTCATGTCATGATATTTTACTTGTAGCAGCCTATAAATGTCTTCAATAATTTTTAAATTTGCTTAGCACAATCAAAATATAAAATGCCATCCATGGATTTTTAATGGTTTAATTTTATAATACTTGTTTAATTTTCTTTATTACCACACATCTATCCACTCCATTTTATGGATCAAGCCCATAAAGCTGGCATTCATTAGTATGCTGAGGTTGCTTACATGCCTCATGAGCAAAAGCCTTTTCATTAGCAAGATGCAAATAATTATTTACTTCATCAGCTCTCTCACACCTCTCTAGATTCCTCACTGTAACTATAGATTCTCCAGTGTTTGGTTTTTTTTTCCCTAAAATTCCCTCAGCAGACACTGAAATCGGGTTTACCAGCCATTCTTGGAACTAATGTTTCATAATGTTTCAATTCAAAATTAAAGATAAACAGAATAAATGGGCAAGCATACACAGACAAGGTGGTAAAACAGCAAAGCATTTTGGAAGAAATTAAAAACCATGGAAACACTGAAGCTCCTGTTCTGCTAGAGGGTATCCTTAATGCATGATGATTTAATCCTGGAATGAATTTAGCAACTGCTTTTTCATATGCTCACAAAACTATGGTTCACATCCCTCCCACAATTCTTTCCTGATAAGACTAAATATACCAACTGAACAGCCCTATCTTCCAAACTGTTAGTAGAGCAGTTACCACCTAAAAAAAAGTAATAAACGACGCCTTTGGGATACAGACTTCCTTTCTTCTACTTGTATCAATTCTGAGCAGACAACATTCCATATGCGTTTGTTCATTTATTCAAGGATGATGAGCGTTGTACATGGATTGCAGCAAAAGTCAGAATTAATTAGTGGAGGGATGGAAGCTGTCAGTATGATTGTACTTTTAAAATGCTTCAGTTCAGTTTATTTAAAGTTCGTTCCTATGCTAAGGACAAGTCAAAAACAAATCTGCATCAACAATGAACCAGATGGTGAAATTTCGAGACCCACAAGAAAATTCCAGTGGCTTGACATCACAGCATGCTTCATTTCATCACCTAAACAGTTAGGACTAGTATTTAGCCTTTAATGACTGTACATATAAAGGACCACAAACCATAGAACTTTTGCTCAGGTATTTCCAAATGTGCCATGGATCTCCCAGCTGAACTGAAGTCAACAGAAACTGCAGTCATTAGATCACTTAGGAGCTGTGCCTCTACCATGGTTTAATACTCTTAAAAAGTCTGTTGTAAGATACCTACAGCCTATCAGAACACTGGAAAACAGCAGGAGCGTAGATACCCATGTAGGTTTTTTGCATATAGTACCCGAAGACAAGGGCGTCAACAATGAAGATAGTCAACTCAGGACAAGAAAGAGAGGGTAAATTTCAAATGTGACATATGAAAAAAAATCATTTTCAAAGTTTCAGAGAAACGAAAGCCAAGGAAGGGCAAAGAATGGGGAAAGAAAAGAAGTACTTGAAATTAGTTTTGTTCCCAAAGTGCTGGAAAAATGAAGAACTTCAATTTCATTAAATTATCTAGAATGAGTTTCTGACAGACTAGTTATTGGTTTTAACTAGCCCCACTTTCTTAGAGAGGATTACACCCTTTAGCTCTCTGCTGCATCTGCCAGTGTCCTGCATACTCCAGTGCTTTGTGTGGTGCTTTTAGCTGGTTCTCATCCAGCACTTACAGCTGAATTTCCACCCTTCTGTCCTGGGCTGAGTTTACTTCTGTTTGTCTCCCACCTATTCCGATTCAAACATGGTGCAATTCAAACCTGACAAAAGACATCAAGAAATGGTGAAGTCAAACATTTTTGATAGGTTTTTTGGAAGCCAATCACTTCTGGGTTTGGTGGGGTTTTTTATTTCCTTAATTTTTAGATTTCCCTTTGTTTGGCTTCAACTTCAGTCACTCAGCTGCTGTTTTGCCTTTGCTCGTGGGACTACAAAGGCTGTCTTCTGCCATTACTTTTCACTGCCTCTAGGTGTAGACAAATGTTCTCTATATTCTATTGAAAAAATACCTCAGAAAGCTAAGCTAGGCTTTCCAAGGGACACTCATTTAAGCTACCTATATGCTTGCAGTAAGCCACTGACAGATACATCATATCAGTCTACAAGTCATAATACTGTTTCATTTCTGCATAAAAGAAAATTCCGCACGCATTTGGTTCTCTAAATAATGAGAATTATTATTATTGCTTCCTATATATAGCGAACGTCAGAAAGAGAAGCTGTTTGTTTATTGCTGCAATTTTTCATTTTGTTTTTTAACTATTTCCAACCAATTCTTCCCATTCTCTTAACTGTTTCCAGCAGGTATTATTCTGCTTTGGACCCAAATGTTTAAAAGCAGATTTTTACACACCAACACCCTATGCTTCTTAGAGGCCACAGAAATACCAGACAGAGTCAGGTAGCAGAGGCTGAACAAAGCCAGGGTAACAAGGGGCAAGGACAATGCCAAACATGCCTTAGTCTGAGGGGGTCTGAGAACAATTCTAGTCACCTTTTTTCATTGCACTACTGAAAAACAGTGAACTTGAGACCAAAGGTAGTCACATAAACTGGGGCTACTATAAAGAAATTTACAAACACTGAAAAATCCTTGACTGCTACAACAGGAGCACAGTTCACGATGTGAGCTGCTACCTGAAGTGGAAAACCACACCTCATTGCACAGGCATTTTTCATCCATTAACTTCTCCATCCTTCCAGTCCTCCTGCTGGTTGAATCTCACCCCATCCTTACCCACCTCCCACCCTGTTCTGTCCCTCACAAGCACTCACTTTTCAGTCCTGTGTCCCTACTGCACCTCTTACTTTCTGTTTGCTTTGGGCTGGGCTCTTCACCTTTTCCATTCAGTAGCAGTAATGAACATATAGAGATGCACATGCATGCACTGCTGCATCTTTTTTAGCTGAAGTACACTCCTCCAAGGATTATTCAATCTTGAAAACATTTTTTTTTCTCCCACATGACTCATTTCGTACAAGATGACAGCATCTTGTCATGCCCGCTCTCAGTCTGGCCAGGGTTCTCTTCCTCCTGTGTCACTTCCAGCAGTGATTCACAAGCCCACAAATTATTCTGCCATTACTTATATTTGTTTATGAAACCGCCAACAGATGGATAATGGTCTTCCAAAATAATAGTTACCTCCAGGCACACATAGTGACAAAGTACCATGAAGTGCTTTTCTTTAGACCTTGTGTTCTTCTTTATGATACATGAAAAGTGCTTAAATGGTTTCTGAAAGCCTTTGACTGAACTGCTATTCCTCAGTGAAGTCAGTTTTCCATAATGCTGTACACCTTACTCTCCATGTTCTCCCAAACAAGCCCAAGAAGCCAAAATTCAGTATTTCTGATACTCTATTTTCCTCTTAGAAACAGACAGAAAACATAATTTCTTTCAGGATTTAAAAGAAGTTACAGAAAAGGTCTCATTACTGTAACTCCAAGAAGGTACATTGGCATAGCCGAAGATAGTCATGAAAGACAGAAGGAAGAAAACAGTTTTGCAAATTAAAGGGCTAAAATTT